TGAATTGCATATACTGCAGGTTACTAACACTTCAATGTGTTTCCAAATTGCTGACATTAACTAGTACTGCCAGTCAAATCGGAACTTGACCAATGTCGGTTTGTAAATAAAAATGTGTCATATTTAGATTTCTCATAGAAAAAATGAAATAAAAAACTACTACAACGGCCACTACGATATGAAACACAAAAAAATCCTCTATTCTAACTCTTTTCTTCATAAGACACGTTCATTCATGTTTCGAGTTTAGTCTGTCGAACTACTATGTATCAATGATTTGTTGCCAAGTTTTCAACTCTCAAAGCAAACTGCGGAGATGTCACTTTCGACATCGATTGGATAATAATCGTACGGAAATTCAAAAATATTAATAATAATAATAATAATCTTTATTATTCCCAAGAAACATATATGTTAATATCCGGAAAAATTATGAAAGAGCAACTAAAAAAAAAAAAATTAGATAATCAGATAATCATTTTTAAATCATATACATAGTACATATAATGTTGTTTCTTCTAGAGACTGTTGAATATAAATTCTTGAATTGATTTAGGATGATATAAGAGAATCAAAGAAAAGTATTCTTTCAGTTCTTTTTTGAATTTCTCAACACTACATATTTTTCTTCAGTCTGGCAGGTAATTCAATATAGAGAAAATAGATCTTTTACCCACATCTGATTTAATTTTGATGAGAATTAAATCTTTTTGTCTGGTTATGTGTTCGTGTTTATGACTATTGACTTCAAAATTCAGATTTGAATGTTTATAATTATATTTGACGGAATGGATGAAATTCAATATTTTCAATTTGTAAATGGAGTTAATATCTAACAATTGCCTAGTTTCATAAAGATTTCTTGTTAGTTCCAGTAATCTAGTTTGTTTATACATTTAATAACTTTGTTTTGAAGGATTTTGATTGGCTTCACAATTGATAACCTAGCTGTACCCCAAACTGAAATCAAGTATTGTCATTTTGAATAAACCAAGGAAAAATATATACAGGAAAAATATATACAGGAAAAATATATGCATTTTAAGTATTTCAAAGTGATTTGGTGTCTGATTCTGTAGAGTACTCCGATAAATGGAGATATTTTCTTTCTGATTGATTCCATATGTTTGGACCATGACAAATGTTCATCACGGAATTTGATGGCTGTGGAATATTTGATGATTTCATCATTAAATTTGATATCAAATTTCAGTTCACTTGAGAGGCGTCGTTTAGAGATATACATAAATGCTGATTTGCTGTAATTCATAGTCAATTTATTATAGGACAACCATGAATATAAAACAATCAAGTCACTTTGATTCATTTCCTATGTAGGCTTCAAAAACATTCCTGATAATAAAACCTATAAAATTCTAGGGCATTTACATAATAATATATTATTTTTTATTTGTTTGTACTTGTGGAGGTTCATATGTTCTTGGGAATAATACATTTGACAAAGAAATCCAAAGCTTCGCCATTCTATACACTGTGACATTGAAATAAATACAAATATTTCAATTTCCGTGCAAATTGCACAATTATGCTGAGTAGAGTGCCAAACGAACCGTAAGTCGCTTAGATCAAAAGTTGGTGGGAAATCGGAGGTAAAAAGCTGTGACATGGCTAGAATTGTTACCTACCATCTCCAGATCATGGATCCACTTGTCGTCAAAAAATCGTCCTGTGCGTTTGGGGGGTAGGGGGTAATTTATAAAAAAATATGATTTTTTTTTTTATTCCTGGAAAATATTGATGGGTTCCAGAACTTCCACCCTGTCGAATCTTGATTTCGTGTGACAAGAAGAACATATTATAGAAAATTTTGAATTTCACCAATTACATTACGATATATGAGAAAATCATATTTCAAACGGCTATAACTCGAAACTTGTAAATTTTCGTTAAATTGCTTTTCATATACCTCGCATTATCTCAGTAACTATAACGTTTATCAAAAAAATACTTGAAATAATGTCGATGCGCTTATGTTTCAAGATGCGAATGGTTCTTCGGTTTTGAAAATCGAAGCATAAATAAGGAAGATATTGGGAAAATCATAATACAATGCAGGTAGTACGAAGGACGGCGACTCGCCGCTTTCATACCCCGATTCTCCCCGCAACGCCCGCAGCCGTCCTAGTACGATCACCGTAAATATAAATTACTGAGTGTTACAGAATAGTATCATCTTGGAATTCACGGGAGAAATGGAATTGATCGCTATTTTCCAAGTTAACAGAAATTTATTTTAACTTGCTGTTTGATTGGAAGTGCCCTCCATTTATTTTATGAATGATTCTATCTCGAAAGTACATTTCTTATCCATCAGAGTAAAATGTCAACCATCTCATTTATAAACAAATTGACAAATATTGAAACAAAATATGATTCATATAATATTGAAATAAAAATAAGATATCCTTGTGGAAATTTGAAAAAAACATTATTTGATACCTATCGAATTGCGAAGTTGTAAATACACGTAAATACGATACAGTGTCCACAAGAACACAAAGCTACGATAATTTTTTTCGATCATGTCTCTTGATGAATCATTATTCCCAAACCAACGTGTTTCGGTGTGAGTTTTTTAAAGTTCGAATTAGCGAGTATTATGCCTTGACATCAGATACTCAACACCTTTGAATCAACTGAATCAACTTTATCGTGTATAAGGCAACTAATTTGAAAAAAGTTTTTTTGGTATCATATCCTTGTAAGCCTTATAACATCCATATTTTTGAGGAATATCTATAATCTGGAATATCTCTCATATCTTGATAAATATCTCAAAAAAATTTGTGTATCTGGGTCATATCTGATGCATACAAAGTCAGGGGAGTTATCTTCTTCTTTCACTTTGTTCTTTATATGTGTATGAATCAGATGAGTTTTTGTCACTTTTGGAATCACAAATTACGACTCATTAGAACGTTTTGATTTATTTGATTATTTCTATTTCCTTATCGTAGTGCTTTCTGATTTCTTCGATAAATTCATTTTACTTGATTTTTCGAGATTTTCTCTCCTCGTTTCTCTGGACGTTTCGGGAACGAATCTGCTCCCGTTCTCAACATAAAGATGCAAAACATTTTTCTTTGGAAGTTGCATTTTCATGTTGAGAACGAGAGCAGATTCGTTGCCGAAACGTCCAAAGAAACGAGAAGAGAAAATCCCAAAAAATCAAGTAAAATGAATGTTTCACCGTCTCGATTAATCTACAGACAGTAATCTTCGATTATGATTTTCCTACCAGTTTTGCCACCAAGTTCGGCATATTTTTGATATAAACAGTTGAAAGTATACCCTTTTTCATTAGAAAATCTGCACCATCTATTAATTTTATCAGATTATCATATTCTTTGTCATGTGTGGTATGACAACTTTATTCTCACTCAGTGATCCTCTATAATGTTTCCAATTCGATATACAAAGCATTGGTTATGATACTTGACTTCCATGGCAATAAACAATGTTGGTAGTCAATACTAGGTCAAAACTTGACTCTTATTTGAACGTTTTTGGTAGAAAATTCTTTTAGACACATCAAAAATACCTTCACATCAATTTCACTATATAGAAAGCGTTTTATTCCTGACATTATTGTCTCCAGTTTTCAATATTCCTGTGCCAGAAAATCGATTAACCTTTATTTTCATTGAAAATATCATCAATTCTCTGAAGTTCCATATCGATTTGCCTCGCATAGTTTTTTCCGAGGTTTTTTCTTATATTCATACAACTTTCAAATGTTTTTATCGATAATTCTGTACAACGAAGGAGTTGACCATCTTTTCCACAAATGAAAAATTTCCTCGATCATTAGGTACTCTGCTGGAAACGAGGCTGGAAAGGAATCTTCAACTTCAAGACATATTCAAGATCAGTGTCTGAATGGCTAGTACTTTCCATCTTTTACCTAGAGACACATATATTTTATGATAAATTTACAATAATAGATTTCGTTAGCTAATCAATACTTATTTAATTATTGAAACAGAGCACACAGTACCAAATATCGAATAATTAATTCACAATAAGTCACCATTAAATGCAATGGTTAACGCCTCAATGTTGATGTGTATAACGAAATTGTATGGAACCATGATAGCCGCGGGTCTTGCGGGGAGAATAGGGGTACGAATGCGGCGAAACGCGTTCGCCCGTGGTACCTGCATTGCATTATGATTTTCTCAATATCTTCCTTATTTATGCTTCGATTTTCAAAATCGAAGAACCATTCGCATCTTGAAACATAGGCGCATCGACATTATCTGAAGTATTTTTTTGATAAACGTTGTAGTTACTGAGATAATGCGAGGTATATGAAAAACAATTTAACGAGAATTTACAAGTTTTGAGTTATTGGCGTTTGAAATCTGATTCTCTCATATATCGTAATGTAATTAGTAAATTTCAAAATTTTCTATAATTTGTTCTACTTGTCACACGAAATCAAGATTGAACAGGGTGGAAGTTCTGAAACCCATTAATATTTTCCACGAAGAAAAAAAAAATCCATATTTTTTTATAAATTACCCCCTACCCCCCAAACGCACAGGACGATTTTTTGACGACAAGTGGATCCATGATCTGGAGATGGTAGGTAACAATTCTAGCCATGTCACAGCTTTTTACCTCCGATTTCCCACGGGGTGAACGATAGGATTCGATTGGCACTCTACTATGAGTTCAGTCATTCAAATTGTTTTATGTACTTGATTTTTTTTTTACTTATATCTTCAAGTTTCGGAAAAAAATGGATTGTTAATTAGAAGAATTAGAAGAAAACTGATATTTTGGGAATATTCGTTAGACTGTATCATATCAATGTGCTGAATAATACTCATTTCAAAAACACCTTGTACAATATTTGATAGAAAAAACTTTTTGGGGGCATATAAATGGGAAAAGGGGCAATGACACTCGCACTATCTATGAACATGATTTGGTCGAGGCTTCAATCAACAAAATTCTGAATTATATTCACTCACTTTCTAAATGAAGCATCTCTTCAGTGTCTTTCTCTGGGTTTGTGGGGTCAGCTTCATGTAACAAATGTAATAATCTATCAATTTTCTGCTCATTTATTTCTATCACTTCTGGTTCTTCTTTCATTATCTTAACCTCAGCAGGTTCTTTGAACTGAACCATTTTCTTTGCTTTATCGTACACTGAAACAAAATATATTTAAATAAGAATAGAATGTTAGAATAGAAGAATTCATAAACATCGGATATCTGATGAGCCTATTGATCTTTTTAATCGAAAATGTGATAACTTACAGAATGATTCTGGTTCCACTGATAAATCAGCTGTAACAAAATTGGCTGGAAATAGTCCTTCTCCTCTATGGTTACTTCCTTTCCACCAGTTGGAGTCGCTATCGTCTAGCACAAATACTGTAAATAAAATCAACCATCATACTTTGTTTCATCACCTCCACTCGATAAACCCGAAATAATTATTGTCTATGCAAAGGTTCCTGCTTCACACAATATCTGAGAATGATGCAGTTTGCAGAATATAAAATGTGATACATTCGATAGTTTTTAAGTAAGTTACACAGTAATAATATCAATGGTCAAAATTGAGGTAATAGTATCTTGGTGTTTGTGGCTAGTGGCTACCGTCCACAGTATAATTTCGTTTGTCATCAGATCCTCTTTCTCATTCGTTTTTTCTGTGCATTGTCGAACAATGTAGCATGTTCAAGAAGATAATCAACAACATCAAATGCTTTTAAATTATGTAATCGCGTTCGAATGCTTTTAAATTATGGTATCGCTGAAGTGCAGCTGCAGCATTGCATTTGTACACGGAAAGACTTTCGTCAAGGAATGATCCAACACCGCGAATGTGTGTTAATTTGGTGCAATGGTTTCGTGAAATATGGTGTTTGAAGGAACTAAGAGGAATACGTGCCTTCCTTTAAGAATGGTTTTCTATCTCAGTTCAGTTGATTGTAAGATGCTCAATATATTCTGGTATAGTGTGGACGTGAAAATTCTCCCCTTCAGAAAGTTTTAAAATTCCAAGTAGTTCCGGAGATATGCATAAAAAACTGAAATGTAACCTCGTTTTCTTTTTTTTTGACGATATGTAAAGAGATATCGAAAAACAAAGGACACTTTTCAAGTTCTACGAAAGGGCATTGAGAGATTTTCCGTACAGGGTTTCATTCCGGAAAAACCATCATCAACTTTATGTTTTGTAGAGCTTAAAATGTGGAACTGAGAAAGTATCCTTTGTTTTCCTATATTTCTTTGAATAAAGACAGAAAAAAATAGAAACGAAATCGGCAAATTTCGGTATATTAGGCATATCTCCGGAACTACTCAGAATTTTAAATCTTTCCAAACGGCATCATTTTAGGCTTGAAAATGTGCAAGTTTTCTCCATCCTCATGTTCCTTATCTTGGACACACTGCATACCTGAGAGTCTTTTTTTTTTACTCATCATTTGAAAAATGAATATGTTATTTTGATAAATATTAATGTTTTGCAACCCTAATGCTAAAATTCTGAAACAAACTGTCCGTGTAATATAAGTTGTCCAACTGGTATACGTTTCTGATACACTGTGTTGAGAAATTCACCAATTTGGTCCATCAACGCCAGTGGTAGAAAATTTGCTGCTGCTAAATTAACAGAAAATGTGATGAGGATATGTTGTGTTGCTAATTCACCTGGTCAACAATCTGAAGAGCCACCAACTCAGTGTCATTCAAATTAGGTGAATAGTTGGATCAATATTTCAATCGTAATTTGAGTTGAAACTGTCATGAAAAATATTAGTTAAATTTGTTTTGGTGCGCTGGTGTGGTTTATAATTTCGGCTGAATAATTCACATAAATCTTAATTATTACAGAAAATAATGACAAATAATGATGGAAAATTATTTGTTGGTTGGCAAAAATTAAAAGTTTATGACAACAATATTATTGCGCAGTGCAATAAATGCTATGGGTTTAACCATAAAATGAATAAATGCAGGAATCAGATAGTGTGTCCACGCTGCTGTGGTCCACATGAACTTAGATTTTGCCAAAATAATGAACAATTAAAATGCAATAATTGTGTCTATTCCAACGAGCGTTACAATAAAGATTACTGCGTGAACCATTCAGCTACAGATAAAAATTGCCAAACTTTGAAATTTCATCAAAATCAGTTGAAATTTCAAATTGACTATAATACTTAACAACAATGAAAAATCGAAATTATGAGTAACAAATCCATAATTAAATTATCTGAAGTATGTTCCATTGATGATTTAAAAGTAGATGCCAGTAACAGACTCAAGATTTTATATCTTAATTCAAGATCCATCAAAAATAAAATGGATGAACTCGAAACCATCTTTAATGAACTGGATATTGCAGCTGTTGTCGTAACCGAAACATGGTTGAATAAAGAAGAAGAAATATATTATAATTTCAAGAACTACGCTTCGATATATGCAAGTCGTGACAAACGAGGAGGTGGTGTTGGAATTTTTGTTCATACGAAATTTGAGTTTGAAATTATTCAAAAAGTAGAAACTCATTTGACATATTTATCCATCAAAATTAAATCTCCAGAAATTATCATTTCTGGTATCTATCGACCACAAGACATAAATATCAATGATTTCCTCAATTTCATGGATAGGACACTTGATACAGTCAATAGATTCAAATGTGAATGCTTTTTCTTTGGTGATATGAACATCAATTTATTATCAAACAGCAAGGAATCTGAAGATCTGATAGACATTTATAGATCTAATAATTTTTTGAATTGTAATGAAAGTATTCCAACTAGACATTCATCATTACTCGATCATTTCGTCACTAATACAGACAAAAATCTTGACTTGATTGTTATCAACAACTCTTTGAGTGATCATAAATTTTATTTAACGTACATACCTCTACAAATCTTGGAAAATAAGAAATTTGTGAACAAGCTAATTCATATATATGATATAGAAAAATTGAAAACAAACTTGGAATTATTCAATGATACTGTAAATAATTATGATGATCCCAATGAGATATATGAAGATTTATTAAATATTTTCAATGATTGTTCATTTTTTAAAACGATCAGACAAAAATCTAATTCCAAACCATGGTTTGATGGTGATGTTAGTAAAATAATAAAATTACGTGATAAATTTCATTATAAACAAAAAACATACCCCAATATCAACTATTTTAAAGAACAATATAATTTCTACAATAGATTAGCAAAAAAAACAATAAGAGAAACAAAAAAGAAATTCTATAATATACATTTTACTAATAGCAATCCTAAAATGGTTTGGAATGGAATCAATTCACTTATATTTAATAAATCAAAAAATTCTAAAGAAAATATCAGATATATTTCAGTTAATGATGTGAAAATTGACGATTGTCATGAAATATGTAATGACATTAATAATCATTTTATAAATGTAGGTCCAAATTTATCTTCTAAAATAACAACAAATTCTCAGTCTATGGAGGACTATTCAAGTGTTCTATCTATGTTTCTGATGCCGCCAAATATTTCAGAAGTTGAAGAAATAATTGATGACTTAGATGTACGAAAATCTTGTGGATTCGACGGAATATCTGCTAAAATTGTAAAAGTGATCAAAGTAGAATTAGCTCCGATTTTATTGTATGTTGCTACTATATCTTTCAAAACTGGAATTGTACCAGATAAAATGAAAATTGCTAAAGTCATACCGATACATAAATCTGGAAAAAGAGATGACCTTAATAACTACAGACCGATTTCAGTTCTCCCGATCCTCTCAAAAATTATTGAAAAAATGATGAATAAGCGCATTCTTGATTTTCTTGAAAATAATGGTCTGCTATACAGTGGTCAATATGGATTTCGCCGATCGAAAGACACTGAGGTAGCAGTTATGGATGTAATTTCGGATATTCAGTTTAAAATTGATCAAAATTATAAATGTGGTCTCTTGTCTTTAGATTTATGTAAAGCTTTCGATACTGTAAATCATGAAATTTTACTGAGTAAAATATATTCAATAGGTATCAGAGGAAAAATATTTGATTGGTTAAAAAATTATCTGGAAAATAGAAAGCAGTATGTTGAAGTCAATAATATTTGTAGCTCCGTAAGAGAAATCAAATGTGGTGTACCACAAGGTTCCGTTTTAGGTCCAATTTTATTCTTAATTTACATCAATTCAATATCATCTTTGAAACTAAAAGGAGATCTGAAGTTATTTGCAGATGATACTACAATAATCTATTCCTCTAAAGAATTCAACGATATAGTTGATGATATAAAGAGTGACTTGAAAATGATATCATCTTGGCTACAAATTCATAAGCTGACCCTTAACTATGACAAATCTACGTATATGTATATTTCAAAAAGAAAAACTGATATGTCGAAAACAACAATATTTTTCAACCAGAAAGCCATAAAATATTTAGATATTACGAAATTCTTAGGTCTTTATATTGATGAACAATTATCGTGGACTAAACATATAGATCACCTGAGAAAAAAGCTCAATCCAATTACTGGCATTTTATACAAAATTCGAAATTTCATTCCTCTTAGATATTTGAAGAATATATATTTCTGTCTGATTTACTCAAAATTACAATATTTAATATCAATTTGGGGAAGCACAAGTATATCACATTTGAAACCATTAATGAAATTACAAAATAAAACAATTAAGTGCATTTACAATTTACATTACCTGGAACCAACTATTAATCTTTACAAACCAAAAAATCTGTTGAATTTATCATCTTTATATAAAATGAAAATTTGTTCTTTCATCCATTTTGTGAGAAAAAAAATAAAAATATCCAACTTGAACTTTACTGAAGTAAATACAATTCATACTCATGCAACGAGACAGTTGAATTCATTAATAGCAAACCCATATAACTCCATCATTGTCAAACAATCAGTATTCTACAACGGAATCATTTTATATAATTCATTACTTTCTATGATTTGGAACATATTGATGATGAAACAAGATTCAAAGTTAATATGAAAAAATATATTACTCATGACACAATAAACGGAGCAATTTATTCTCATTTGAATACTTGGAATGGTTTTATTTTAATTATTATGTTATATTGACATAACTTGTTAATTAGTTTTTTTTTATTGTTTTATATATATATATATATATATATATATATATATAGGTGTAAACGGTATATTGTTGAGCCCGTCATATGAACGGGGCGCTCTTGAGCCCACCCTTTCCTGTGCAGTTAGAAGAGTATATGTCAGGATATTTATATCTTCTCATCTTTGTCTCTCATGGGACACTTAGAGGGGAAAGGATTTCAGAAGTTTGAATATTTTTATATGTTTTTCGCACGTTGTTGAGCCATTTATACTTTCGCTACGTAGTGG